TATAGTGATGTCTTCTGTGCCAACTTTCCCATGAAATGAGCAACTCACTTTAGAAAGTGTAAGCCTTAAATTAAAGGGAAGAATACTATAGTTCAGATTTTTTCCATGGGCACTACTGACATTTTCGGCAAGACAATTCCTTGCCATGTGGGACTGTCTTGCAAGAGCAGAATGTTTACCGTCCTTGAGACACACAAACTTAAAACTTATGCCAGCACCAGCCCCTAGCCACTGAACAACAACAACAAAATGTTCTGATATCTCTCTAATTGCATCCTTGACAGATTGTTTATGTCTAAAATTTTGGTAGATCTCCATAGCGTTACTAAACACATGCGTACTCATAGTTTAATGCATACCAAACATGTATTAAAATTGTCAGAGATAGAATTCAACCCTCAGAATATGAGACCTCCGTTTTATACACATTCTAGTGTGTAATTACATGATTTTGAGTGTGATCTAAGATAAGTTACATTCCACAATGGTATCCTAGAACAGACATGAAAGAGTATCATAAGTGTTTTATTTTGACCTTTGAGGCCAGACTACCTGGGTTCAAATCCCAGCTCTGTTGGCAAACTATACTAATCTTTTTTTGTGCTTCATGCCTTTATTTTAATAATGGGATAATAATTCTAATATTACTTGCCTTATAGTTCTTTTTTGGTGAGGGTTGAAAGGGTTATCAGACATACAGCATTTAGAACAGTGTCTAGCATATAGTAAGAGTTAGATAAATATCTAGTATTAATAGAAATGAGATTTAGCAAGGCACATTTAACTCCAACAGATTTGTCTGCATTTACTGTGGTTTTTTTTGGGTTATATAACCCTGAAAAAATAGATTTCAGTCTTTGAGTTTAGTCTTCACTTCTGCATCTTCATTATGGTCTTTAAAACATCCTTTATTAGAATGACAACATCTGATGTTTCTAAAATAATCATGTTATAATCTCCTTATACAAATGCAGTCTGCATTACTAAGTACAAAACTATTGAAATCACAAAAGTAGAGCTAGTAACTGGCACAGCTGTTGCCATTGTTAGGGGGAAAAGATGCAGTCAGTGGAAGCTGGGGCAAAAGATTAATTTTAGTGGGTTAAAAATTTTAACAAATAGCATTGTTTTAATAATCTGAGTTTTAAAGATGCTACATCCCAGAAGTAGTAGGATTTCCAATAATAATTAATTTCATAGTCTACCTGCTTTTATGACTCTAGTTGCTTCCATCTTGTCCTTAGATAAAAGTGCCTCTCTGCACATTATATGCAGTCAACCACTGTGTTTTGGAAATCATTTATATCCATGAGTTATATTGGAACCCTTAATAATAGGTAGTCATCTTATTCAGTATTGGATTCAAAGTTTGCTCCATGTGATGCTTGATGGTAAATGCTGTGCCTTTTCTGCCTAGAACTCAATAACCATTGATAGCACTGGTATGACATGAGCAGAAAAATTGCACTTCAAAAAAGCATTACTGATCTGTTCCTCAGAGCCTATTACAATGTCATGGCTTTAACAACATTGTACTTTGTCACAGGAGGACATGAGTTACATGGGTCCACTTTACTGGCCATAAAAGTAGAAGGTTGATGAATATAGTACTTCTCAATTCCATTCGATCCTATGTGAGCAAAAGCACAGTTGTTCATATCCATCAAATGAAGTATAAAACTGAGCAGAAACAACTATTAATTATCCATAAACCTAGACTTGAAAAGTAAAAGCAACATTTATTGAGTTCATGCCATGTGCTAAATGGTTTTACAACTATGATTCATCGAATAACCCTTCAAAATAGCTATTACTTACACCTATTCTATTTGGATGCCTAAATAAATTACCCCAAGCGCTGTATGCAATGCCATTCTTCTCCTGTGGCTCCCAAACTACACATATCTGAAGTGTTGAGTGCTTCGTAGACATAGGCATCCCTGGAAACTAATTCCTTCACTTCCGCCATATTCTTCAATGATAATGTTTAATAGTCACATCAACTTGTAATTGATTATATTTTACCCTCTCCTCCTTCCTGACCATAGTTGAACAGTTAGTTGATAAAACCACCAATAAGTTATTCTCTAGATGTTACATTTAATTTGTCAAGAAGGAATCTTTAAAAATTTTAATTTATTCCTACAAAATAATATATCTAATATATATGTTTGTTATGAATTATAGTCTTAATTGGAACCAGTGAACCAAGAACTTGGTGTAAGCTGCTTTCCTATTCTACACTCTACTCCAGAGTTAACCATTCTCATGAGGGGCATGGCTAATGGTCCCTTTCATTTTTAGAAGTTACCCCTTCATATTCACTTATTTATAAGGAGTATATAGCTTAGTCTTACATGCCTGTAGATGTTCAATAATTACATGGAATCATTATTAGCCATTTCTTTTTCCATGTTTGTACACACTGTACAGTTTTACCTGAGCAAGAAGTGAGATAATCTTTTAAAACATTTCTCAAAGTGTCATAACCTCTCATCCAATTATCTATATCAAGTACCAGCCAGTCTTGGAACTTTTGTTTCCCCCCCTTGCCTTCACCACATCTGCCTGGCTCGCCTCCCCAGCTCCATATCCACTGTGGCTACCCTAATCCTGCCATTCTGCTTTTTGTCTAGAAAGCTGTTATATTAAATATATATATATATATACACACACACACACACACATATATAAGAAAGCTGTTATAGACACTTTTCGGCTTTCACTCCTGCTGTCTACAATCTGTTTCACATCACATTGTAGTCATGGGGGAGGGGGCGGGTAAGCAGCCCTATCATGCTATTTGTCCACCTAAAATATTTAAGAGGCTTTCTACTTGCACTTAGAACAAAATCCATCTTCCTCAAAGTGCCTTGCAATCCTTCATGTACCATAACTTCTGGCTAACCTTGACTTAATCCTCTCCTACTTACCTGCATGCTCATGATAATCTTTTCTCCTTGGGAAATTTGGGGCATCATACACTTTTCCCCACAATCATTATGTGTTTGTATCCTTCTGAAACAATGCATGTCACTTTCACACACAAGTCACTCTGACTACTCACCTGACTTAGTAGCTCTTTCCATGTTTATTCATCATATTCAACTGTATGACCCTTTTATTGTCAGTTACTCTTCTAAGTTCCATGGAGGAAAGAACCTTGCTGCATTAAAGAAAAAATTATTCTTGCAGTTTTAGTTCTAAGTGGTAAGAAAGACCTTTTATTCAAGACTATTGCAAGAAGGGGACTGCAGTCAGGGAAGTGGGGATTTATATACAAAGAGCAGGGTGAGGGGGATCAGTGGGTGGAACGTTAAAGAGGAGGCGTCAAGTGTAAAGTGAATCTTGCTAAACTGATCCAAGATGAATCTTGCCAAAGGTGGGCCAGGGGCTTAGGCATAAATAATTTGATCTCTTCAAAGGGAGGGAAGAAAGAAAATATATCAAGGGTTAGGAATTCTCTCTAAACTAGCTTAGCGTGATTATTGCTGTAACCAAGCTGGGCAGGTCATAGACAGGCTGGAGGCCAAGGTCCAGGCCTAATTGAGAAAAGGACACATCAACTTCTTGTTTTGGGATCTCTCAAGCAGTAAAATCCAATAGAAATATAATGAGAGCCACAAATTTAAGACAAATGTGAGCATGGTATACATTCTTATAGCCATATTAAGAAAAGCAAAAATAAATGAGTGAAAATACTTTTAATATTTAATACAATATACCAAATATTATAATTTCAACATATAATCAATATAAAAAGTATTAATTAGATATTTTATATTTTCTTTGTATACCAGATATTAGAAGTCCAGTAGCACATCTCAATTCAGACTAATCACATTTCAAGAATTTAAAAGTGGGGCTGGCACTGTGGTGTAGTGGTTAAAGCTGCAGCCTGTGGCTGCTGGTTCAAGTCCTTGCTGCTCCACTTCCAATTCCGCTCTCTGCTATGGCCTGGGAAAGCAGTAGAGCATGGCCCAAGTCCTCTGGCCCTTGCACCCACATGGGACACTGGGAAGAAGCTCTTGGCTTCGGATTGACACAGTTCTGGCCATTGCAGCCACTTGGGGATGAATCAGTGGATGGAAGACCTCCCTCTCTCTCTCCCTCTCCCTCTCCATTTTCATCATTGTTCTTTCCTCATCTAATGTGTCAAATTAAAGATGAAGGAAGATGTTTTTCCTGTGTACCACACAGTGAGGATGTGTCTATCTAACTTTTCTTCTGTTTACACTGTGGATATGTTCAGCTATAGAACTGACTCCTCTATTGTATTCCTGAAAGCTGTCAGTTTTGAGTCGGATCAACTAAAATATCCATTAAAACATCTAAGAGTCTTTGAGGATTCATGAAAATATTTCAGATAGTCTGTCTACACCTTTTATACTTTCATCTGATATCTTTATAAATCCAGGTTAAAATAGAGAAATTCAAGAAATAAAGTATACTTTAAAGTAAGAAAGATACTACAACTCTAGCTTTGTGAGTGATTTAAAAAGAAAAAAAGGAATGCATCCTTCATTCCTTCACTTCCCCCCAACACACACACAATTAGATATCTTGATAGAGACATGGAAATGTTTTTGATAGCTCTTGAATTTTTTTTGGCAAGCTTGATAAAGGCCAAATTAATGCTAAATCAGAGGTATTTACAACATCCACAAATTTAATCCAAAGTGGATACTTAAAAGCCCATATAGATCTAAATGATGTTCTCCCAGATGGTGAATTAATGTAATTTTAGCAGGAAGCAAAGTTGCACAAATATGCAGTATTGAGGACTCGTGCTGATTTAATGTATCTGTACCCACCAAAGCACAGATGTTGCTTATCATTTTAGTGCCAGTTGTCTCTCTTTCTTTTTATATTACAAAGGGAAGAATGGGATTTGGGAATTCAGTAAATTATGATTTATTCTGTTACTAATAAACTTGTTATAAATTGAAGCTTTCTGTGAAATGTGTATAGAAATCATATTGGTTATATTCTTTGTACAGGGTCTGAAAGGTGACTTGGGTCCTCGTGGTCCACCTGGCCCAAAAGGAGAAAAGGTATTGACCCAAAAAGTGTCAGCTTTTTCCTTTTTTAAGAATGCTCTGAAAATCTATGCAGTGATTTCTTGTTGATACTAATTGCCAGAAACATTTTAAAATTAACCGAAGGCTGTTATTTTAAAAGCATCTGAACAAGAAAAACCTTTTGGTTCATTTAATTAGTTTGAAGAGACTAAATGCACAATTGCTAATTGACATTCACTTGTGGTTATAAGACTTCCCTTTTCTCACCCGTGCTTAGCAGCATTGCGTATTCAGTCACCAAGTTAGCAAATGTGTCCTGCGTCAGGGCATTCAGCCAACAACACTGAGCTGCTACCATCATGGTGAAGCAGGTGGCTTTTCCGGAAAGGAAGCTAATTTTGTATCTCAGTCTTAGTCTAAATGTCCCATTTCTTGTCACTTTTTCTCATATGCAATTTCCTAATGGCATATTGGCAGTGACCTTAAACAGAAAATTAACAAATAATATAGGAGGAATTATTTTGAATAAGGTCATTGAGTGCAAATTGTGTATTGCACTCTAGTTTTTCCTTCATTCTCAGCACATTTAGAAATCCCTCTTTGCAATATTTTATCTCTGTGTTACAAGTGACCTTACAAATTGGTTTTCAGTTGTTCCTTAACAACTATCGGTTATTTTAATTCAATTCTAAAAATTAATGATGACATAATGCTAAAACTTAACATTTGAAAATATTTGTTGAGAAAGAGCAAGTGCTGAGGAAACTCTGAATATAGGAATCCAGCATCACGGCACCACACACCACACAGTGTGTGTTCTCCACAGTGTTCATCTAAATGAGAGACACAGCAACTATGCTTGGTCTTAATGAACGAGGGTTCTTATGAAATAGAGTTCCTGAGACAATAAAGTGTGCAAATTACATTCAAATTGGAAAATAGTGAACTTTCAGTTGAACGATTTGTAAAGACTTTTAAATAATTTATCAATATTTCTACCTAAAGTTTGTATTCATGTAGGTCAGAAAAGAAAATTAATAATTAAAAATAAACAGGCAAAGCCTCTTACTGTTGATGGCAACAGCAGTGCCAATTCAGCAGAGCTTTAGAGGAGGTCATGGGAACTGCTTATGGCAGCTGGGAGGCATGAAGTGGGAGATCCACTTATTATTTCTGCTGATCCTCATGCTAACTTTGTCAGAAAAGTTTTCTACCTCTGATGCGTTCCAGCTGCTCCATTAGCATGTAACCATACTTTAAAAGATATTCTAATTTTGGATTAATAAAAGAATAGAAAATCAGATTATTCTAGCATTTCAGAACAAGTTCTGCTGCTGTAAATACATGGAAAACTAACCAATATTGGGCCCACTTGGGAGCACAGGGATGCACCAGATGATTTTTATATAGTGAGAGGTAATGGGCACATGATAGTTTGTTATGCAGAGACTACTATGAAGATTAAGTTTTATTTCTGTCCTTCAAGATTTATCTATGAATATTGCTTCTATCCACTCAGAAATTTATTGGAAACTGCAGCTTTTCTTTAATCTATTTTAGGGAGACATGGGACCTCCAGGACTACCAGCCTTAACAGTAAGTATTCTTGAAATCAAAAACTCAACAATTAAATCTGTTATCCTACTTATTAGTCATACTACATCATGACCAAACCAAAATTTAAATCAGATTAAGAATGATCTTCAAGTACATTTAATTTGACTTTATATTTTAAAAATGGCACATCTGCCCACAACAGTGAAGCACTTGACCAGGGGTCATAAGGGAGTTACTATACAAGTCTGGATTCAGTACCTACCATGAGCAATTTTCTCTGTCCTCAGAAAGGCTCATCATCTTCTCCTTCAGTGTTTGATTATACATTCTTAACATCATATTTAAAGTAAGTGGAAACAGTGATAGTTTCTACTTACTCTAAAAGCTAATAAATGAAACCATAATCACACAATGGCTGATAGCTGTCTATGCTAATTTATTATCATATTTCCCCAAACCTGTCCAACACCATTGTAGATTTCCTGTGTAATTTGGATCTCAAATTTTTGCAGGTGATATTTGTGTAACGAATGTGAAAAGAAAAGTTTTTAGTATGTGTGTTATAGGAGTGTTCTCAAATGATCCATCATTTATTAAACATTTAATTATATATAATTAAAAATATTTTTATATTTAGATACAACTTACTATCACAGATTTTCTTCATGGGTTTTTAAAGGTTCTCAGTGGGTCTAAGAAAGAGTCTAAACCTCAGAAAAGAGGATAGTTAGAAATTTGTTCACCTTACATAAATAAAAAATAAAAAAAAAATTTTAGAAGTTATATATTACTAAAATAAACTAAAGATTATATCATCTCTTGATTTTATAATTGATATTGCTAGCGAAATAAATTAAGCATTTAAATTCTCAGTAATCCAAAGCCTGTCTCAAAGGAGTCTTCTAATGAGCTGGATGGGGTTTTATGGTCAGGAAGAGCACCAGAATCTCGAAGGCTGTGTGAATTTTATAATATTTGTATTTATCGTTGTACTTGAAAAATCCCATTATGAACAATATGCTAATACTATCTTAAATAATCTTTGCATCTCTTAGTGAAAAACAAATGTTTCTTGATAGGAGCCAATCAGGTGACTTACCTGGAAATAACTGGATTCTATTATCAGTGAAATTCTGTGTTTAAGCTTTGGTTTATACTCTCAATATGAAATGAAAACTGTATATTTAATATTTTTCTACTTTTTTGGAGTTTAAAAGTTTGGGGCAGTAATTTAGAGTTAAACCTACTCATTTTATTTAGGATACATGCCTGTTTCGCTTCAGCTAAGTGATATGCTCAACCACTTTAGTTTTAGTGATTTGATTTCCTATTTTCCATTCATGCTTGAGGACCAATATGCAGTCTGCATGTATCATTTTTTTCTCAAATGTAATTTTGGATCCTCCCTGAAAATTATATTGGACTATATCTACTTGGTAGATTTTCCATAGCAGCTTTCTTTCTGCCAAGGAACACCTTGTAGATGTCTCTGCACCATTCAGCTGGCAGGCACTTGGGGAGTACAAGCTAATTTTTATACTTGCCTAAAACCACAAGCACTACGAAATAAAATGTTTCATTTCATTAAGTAAAATATTAATATGATTTAGATTTTACTATTTCATATGCTTGCCATTACTTCCTTTATTAATGTAGGTGATCAGCTGTTACCTATGAAATAGGGATGAACTGAAATGAATCCAATTTAACATGTTCTAAATATTTAATTGATCTTATAAGATAAGTGTTACATTATTAAATGAAGTAATTGATAATAGTCTTCCAGAAAACCAAATGACTGACTGCAGTATATTTGGATTGAATGAGGCACTGATATATAGTAAACTAGAGTTCATCCCCAAAACCAGCTGCACACTAAAATCCACTGGAGAGATTTACCAATGTCAAGTGTTCCACCTCTAGAAATTCTGATTCAATAGATGTGATGTAAGATAAATTTCAAAAGCTCCCTAAGGAAGATCTATATATGCAGCTACAGTTAACCATTATTTATGGATAGTATAATGGATCAAACTTTCTACCTAATTATTTTAGCGTTTTTGATATGTCTAGCTTTTATTTGAAATTCAACTTTATGTGTAGTAATAAAAAATTTATCTTTCCATTAGGGACTAAAACTAAGTTAACATAGAAGACCTGTAGCTTGATGAACTGTAAGGGACTGAAGCTAGGAAGACAATTTTAATTACAGCCTTAATCCAGCCATTCAAGCACTTCGGTGGTTCAGGTGCCTTTATGCCTCTAAAAGCTTATTAGGCATCGAAGCCATTCAGGGGTCTTGTTCAATTGTATGTTTTCCCTCTTCGAGAGTCTGAACTGAGGCCTGAGATTCTACACTTCTAGCAAGACCCTAGGAGATGCAGAAACTGCTGCTCCTCCAGTCAAACTGTGTCACAAGGGCTTAGAACCCTCTTCCCAGTTCCTGGCTTTGTCCCATAGGTCAGCGGTTCTCCATCTTGACTGCACATTGTAGTCACCCAAAGTGCTTTAAAAAATCTAATTCCCAGGCTTTACCATTTACCAATATAGTCAGAATCTCTAGGGAAGGACTCAGGCAACAGTTGCTGTAAGTTTTGTTTTGTTTTGTTTTAAGTGATTCTACTGTGGAGACAAGTTTGAGAACTAATGTTCTCAAAGCTTGTCTAATACTTTCTTCTACAGCTTCTCCTTTTACCTCTTGTGCAGTTTAAAATTACTCCTTACATCAGCAATTGTATCAGAAATACCCAATCTGACTCCCTTTAGAGGCTAAGATTTGGTTTCTGATGACTTTCTTCTAGAGGCCTAAATTCCACCTGCATATTTAGAATCTATGAGCAAATCCGCAATGACCCTTTCCTGAGCAGGACCACCAGCACTGGCAGCTCCCGGGTATGGAACTCTAGAAGCTGGCCAAGCATATGCTGCTGAGCTGCCCTGAGAAAATACCCTGCTCCTCTCTGGGTCATATATTTTATATTTGCTTTACTTTTATTCATATTTTGTCTAATGAAAAATGAGGGAAGTGGTAGTTGAGTACAAGGCAACATTGAGATTACTGATGTAGGGACAATTCCTTTTTGATGCAGAATGTTCAAGAACATTGTAAATGTTGAGGTTAGCTTGGTGTCCCTCCTGGATTGGAAGAATTAATAATGTTAAGATGTCTGTACTGCCTAAAGCAATCTATAGATTCAATGCAATCCCTATCAAAATATCAATGATATTCTTGACAAAATTAGAAAAAAATTCTAAAATTCATGTGTAATCACAAAAGACCCAGAATAACCAAAGCAATCTTGAGCAAAAACCAAGCTGGAGAATCACAATACCTGATTTCAAGATATACTATGAAGCTATCATAAGTAAAACAGCATGGTATTAATGTAAAACCAAACACATAGCTCAATGGAACAGAATAGACAGCCCAGAAATTAAACCCATAAAGCCAGCTGATTTTTGACAGAAGTCCCAAACCATACATTGGAGAAATAATCCCTTCAATAAATGGTGCTGGCAAAACTGGACATTACATATGTAGAAGAATGAAATTATATCCCCACCTCTCACCATATAAAAAAAAACTCAACATATGATCAAAGAACTAAATTTAAGAACTGAGATAATGAAATTGCCAGAAAGAAATGTAGGAGAAACACTTTAAGACATTGGTATAAGTGATGACTTCTTGTATAAAACCACTAAAGCACAGGTAACAAAAACAAAAATTAGACAAATGGGATTATATCAAACTCATAAGCTTCTGAACATCCAGGGAAACAATCAGTAGAATGAAGAGACATCCAACAGAATGGGAGAAAATATTTGCAAGCTATTTAGCTGACAGAGAATTAATATACAGAATATATTAACAGCTCAACTCAGCAACAATAGCCACAAAAAAAAAATCCAGTTTAAAAATGGGCAAAGGACCTGTATAGACTGTTCTCGAAAGAAAAGCTACAAGTGGCCAACAAATATACAAAAAAAAAAAAAATGCTCAGTATCATTAGCAAATTGAAACCACAAGAAGATATCACTCTAACACAATGGCTGTCATTCAAAAGACAGCAACAAATTCTGGCAAAGACATGGTGCAAGGGGAACTCTCTTTGTTTCAATGTTTTCAAAAGATTCATTTTATTTATTTATTTGAAAGACAGTTGTAGGTGGAGGAAGATGGAGAGAGCGAGTTCTCCACCCCCTGGTTAAGTCCTTAAATGCCTGCAATGACTGGGGCTGGACCAGAATGAAGCCAAGAGCCTGGAATTCCATCCAGGTCTCCTACATGAGGGCCTAACTTCTTGGACCATCTTCTGCCATCTTTTGAGGCACATTAGCAGAGAACTGGATCAGAAGTGAACAAACCAGTACTCATCCCACACTCCAATTGTGGGATGCTGATGTCATAGGTGGTGGCTTAATCTGCACCAAGACACAGACCTCAAAAGGGGAACTCTTACTGGGGGCCAGTGCTGTGGCATCATAGTTTAATCCTCCACCTGTAGTGCCAGCATCCCATATTTGCTCTGGTTCTAGTCCCAGCTGCTCCACTTCCAATCCACTTCCCTGCTAATGGCCTGGGAAAGCAGCAGAGGCTGGTCCAAATGCTTGGGCTCCTGTGCTTACGTGGGAGACATGTAAGAAACTCATGGCTTCTGGCTTTGGAGCCATTTAGCTCTGGCTGCTGGTAGCCATTTAGGGTGTGGGCCAGTGGATGGAAGACTTCTCTCTCTGTCTCTCCCTCTCTCTGACTGTAACTCTGCCTCAGATAAGTAAATCTTTAAGAAAAGGGAGAGGGGGCATCTTATAAAATGTGGGTAGAAATGTAAATTAGTACAGCTGCTGTGGAAAACTGTGTGGAGATTTCTTTAAAAACTAGAAATAGCGATCAGCACTGTTTAAGATGGAAGGCATCTCCCCCTCTCTCTTCTTCTCTCTCTTTCTCTCTCTTCTTCCCTCTTTCTCTCCCTCCCTTCCTCTCCCTCCCTCCGCTGCCCCTCTCCCCATAACTCTGAAGAAAACCAAGTAAATCCTAA